CACAGAGAGAGACAGAGAGAGAGAGAGACAGAGAGAGAGAGAGAGACAGAGAGAGAGAGACAGACACAGAGAGAGACAGACAGACACACAGAGAGACAGACAGACAGACAGACAGAGACAGACACAGACAGAGACAGACAGAGACAGACAGACAGACAGACAGAGACAGACACAGACAGAGACAGACAGAGACAGACAGACAGACAGACAGAGACAGACACAGACAGAGACAGACAGAGACAGACAGACAGACAGACAGAGACAGACACAGACAGAGACAGACAGAGACAGACAGACAGACAGACAGAGACAGACACAGACAGAGACAGACAGAGACAGACAGACAGACAGACAGAGACAGACACAGACAGAGACAGACAGAGACAGACAGACAGACAGACAGAGACAGACACAGACAGAGACAGACAGAGACAGACAGACAGACAGACAGAGACAGACACAGACAGAGACAGACAGAGACAGACAGACAGACAGACAGAGACAGACACAGACAGAGACAGACAGAGACAGACAGACAGACAGACAGAGACAGACACAGACAGAGACAGACAGAGACAGACAGACAGACAGACAGAGACAGACACAGACAGAGACAGACAGAGACAGACAGACAGACAGACAGAGACAGACACAGACAGAGACAGACAGAGACAGACAGACAGACAGACAGAGACAGACACAGACAGAGACAGACAGAGACAGACAGACAGACAGACAGAGACAGACACAGACAGAGACAGACAGAGACAGACAGACAGACAGACAGAGACAGACACAGACAGAGACAGACAGAGACAGACAGACAGACAGACAGAGACAGACACAGACAGAGACAGACAGAGACAGACAGACAGACAGACAGAGACAGACACAGACAGAGACAGACAGAGACAGACAGACAGACAGACAGAGACAGACACAGACAGAGACAGACAGAGACAGACAGACAGACAGACAGAGACAGACACAGACAGAGACAGACAGAGACAGACAGACAGACAGACAGAGACAGACACAGACAGAGACAGACAGAGACAGACAGACAGACAGACAGAGACAGACACAGACAGAGACAGACAGAGACAGACAGACAGACAGACAGAGACAGACACAGACAGAGACAGACAGAGACAGACAGACAGACAGACAGAGACAGACACAGACAGAGACAGACAGAGACAGACAGACAGACAGACAGAGACAGACACAGACAGAGACAGACAGAGACAGACAGACAGACAGACAGAGACAGACACAGACAGAGACAGACAGAGACAGACAGACAGACAGACAGAGACAGACACAGACAGAGACAGACAGAGACAGACAGACAGACAGACAGAGACAGACACAGACAGAGACAGACAGAGACAGACAGACAGACAGACAGAGACAGACACAGACAGAGACAGACAGAGACAGACAGACAGACAGACAGAGACAGACACAGACAGAGACAGACAGAGACAGACAGACAGACAGACAGAGACAGACACAGACAGAGACAGACAGAGACAGACAGACAGACAGACAGAGACAGACACAGACAGAGACAGACAGAGACAGACAGACAGACAGACAGAGACAGACACAGACAGAGACAGACAGAGACAGACAGACAGACAGACAGAGACAGACACAGACAGAGACAGACAGAGACAGACAGACAGACAGACAGAGACAGACACAGACAGAGACAGACAGAGACAGACAGACAGACAGACAGAGACAGACACAGACAGAGACAGACAGAGACAGACAGACAGACAGACAGAGACAGACACAGACAGAGACAGACAGAGACAGACAGACAGACAGACAGAGACAGACACAGACAGAGACAGACAGAGACAGACAGACAGACAGACAGAGACAGACACAGACAGAGACAGACAGAGACAGACAGACAGACAGACAGAGACAGACACAGACAGAGACAGACAGAGACAGACAGACAGACAGACAGAGACAGACACAGACAGAGACAGACAGAGACAGACAGACAGACAGACAGAGACAGACACAGACAGAGACAGACAGAGACAGACAGACAGACAGACAGAGACAGACACAGACAGAGACAGACAGAGACAGACAGACAGACAGACAGAGACAGACACAGACAGAGACAGACAGAGACAGACAGACAGACAGACAGAGACAGACACAGACAGAGACAGACAGAGACAGACAGACAGACAGACAGAGACAGACACAGACAGAGACAGACAGAGACAGACAGACAGACAGACAGAGACAGACACAGACAGAGACAGACAGAGACAGACAGACAGACAGACAGAGACAGACACAGACAGAGACAGACAGAGACAGACAGACAGACAGACAGAGACAGACACAGACAGAGACAGACAGAGACAGACAGACAGACAGACAGAGACAGACACAGACAGAGACAGACAGAGACAGACAGACAGACAGACAGAGACAGACACAGACAGAGACAGACAGAGACAGACAGACAGACAGACAGAGACAGACACAGACAGAGACAGACAGAGACAGACAGACAGACAGACAGAGACAGACACAGACAGAGACAGACAGACACACACACATAGACACACACACACACACACACACACAGACACACACACACATAGACACACACACAGACAGACACACAGACACAGACAGACAGACAGACAAACAGACACACACACAGACAGACACACAGACACACAGAGACACAGAGACACACGGGGCAGAGACACGTCAGAGTCCTCAAACACTCACGACTGCATCCTGAATCCACACAGACGACTCTACCTGCGTGTGCTGCTCTCTCCGCAGCGCGTGGTTTCCTCTCAGTCGAGCTTTCTCCAGCCGCTCCTGCCTGTCACGAGCTTCCTCTCGCCGCAACTCCTCCAAACGCTGGATCTCCAGCGCTGCGGCCTGTTGAGCGCTCAGCTGAGCCACACAAAACCAGCGCTCCCGTTACAACAGCACTGATCAATACGAGTAAGAGCAACATGAGAAAAGCTTGAGGGAATATTCAACACAAGTTCAATTTTAGTTTTGAATGTTACTTAAATTTGTCCCTCCTTTTCTTAAAAAACAAAAAAAGCACAAATCAGTGAGGCACTTATAATGGAAGTCACTGTGGATGATCTGAAAATGTTATCATACTGACCTTTTCAATAGCAGCCACAAGACATTGAGTGTTAAAATTATGTTAACCAACCTTTAGTGTGAAGATCCTTTTAATAACCGTTTATGATAATGTACTGCTATTTTGGGGCACATAAATGAATAAAACATCTTCCTTGCATCTAGATCATCTTTAACTAGATTTTACTGTAGTTTAATCCTTGCATTAAACATTTAGAATCTACCTCAATCAGAGATAATGCTCTGCTATAATGCTATATTGAGAAATATACTGAACATAAAAGCTCAAAAACACCAAGTATATTTTTCTTTCATGTCATAACCTCACGTCTGTGGGCACTGCTCATGCATGTACCTGCTGCTCGGTGTCGGTCTCTCTGTCCACAGCGGTTTGTGTCATGTGACAGTGTGTGAGAGAGAAACGCTCTGCTGCTGCACACTTGAGTGGACGCGGCGTCTTCTTCCCGATGCTCTGAGAGAGGAAGCATTACAGTAATGACGTGTGGCGTGCTCTGCAACAGCTGATCGTGTAGAGGAGAGCAGGCTGTACCTGCACTGGGTCTGGAGGAGGCGCCGGCAGACTGGCCACTCTCTCAGCTCTCCTCTTCTCCTCCAGCAGAGCTTTCCTCCGTGCTTCAGCATGCCTGTTACCACAATCAACTACAGCTTACACGTGATCATGACAGCTACGTGTGCAAACCCAGAGCATGAATAGAAATGTGTGCAGACCGGCGCTGCTGCTGCTCTTCCTCATGTCTGCGGGTGCTGAGCTCTCTCAGAGCCTCCCGATGTCTCTCCTCCGCACGCTCCTGCCTCTCCACACTCCTCTGAGCCAGCGCCTCCAGATCAGGCTCCTACACACACACAAACAACACCGCTTAAAGGACAGTTCACCGAAAACAGGTGATCTGCAGTGAATGGGTGCCGTCAGAATAAGAGTCCAAACAGCTGATAAAAACATCTTATTTGTTTCTTTCAAACACGCAGCTTTTCTGGAGTGCTGTGGATTATTGTGATGTTTTTATCAGCTGTTTGGACTCTCATTCTGACGGCACCCATTCACTGCAGAGCATCCATTGCTGAGACACTGATGCAGTGCTACATTTCTCCAAACCTGATGAAGAAACAAACTCATCCGCATCTCGGACGGCCTGAGGGTGAGCACATGTTTGGGTGAACTATTCCTCTAAAGGAACTGACTAAAACAGACAGACTCTTCAGGTGTCCCCGACCACTCTGATGTCCACTGGCTCACTCACATTCTCCCGAGCGCTGCGGTGTCCGTGTCCGACAGATCTCAGGCTGTGCTGGTAGTGTGTGGATAAGGCCTGCAGTCTGAGCATCTGCTGCTGCTGCCACTGGAGCTGCAGGGAGTCTGCGAGCGTCTGCATCTGCTGCTGTCTGCGCTCCTGCACCTGCGTGCGCACCTGCCGCGCGATGAAGCGCTCCTGCTCGCGCACCTACACACACACACACACGCACGCACGCACGCACGCACACACACACACACACACACACACACTTCAAGCCTCGCGGTCGTCTTTAGCAGAGCCGAGGAGTTTATTTAAAGGTCGTTAGTCATGGCTCCCTGCACACAGGAGTGTGAAAGCCAAGGCAGCAGTCGCTGAAACAGTAAATAAACGAGAAGCAGCTAACACTACACCGCAGTATTCTCTGACCTGCTGTAGACGCAGTTTCCTCCTCCTGTGCAGCTCGTCTCTCTCCAGCTGCGCCTCCTCGTTCGGACTGGGCCTCAGACTCACTCGTCCCCTCATCTCTTCATCTCTTCGCACACACAGCTCTTCTGTCGGACAGAATCAGCGCTCAGGCGGAGGACAGGCTTGTTTGATCGACTCCTTGTCAACAAACTCCAACGGCTCTTTCAAAGCCGCGTCACTTCCGCTATTTAAACCGCCCTCGGAACGGCGAGCGTTGTTGGCTTGAATTATTTATTTATTCACGAAACATACAGCAAAAATTAATGCGTACGAGGGAGATAAAGTGCAACTGTTATTGTAAATATAAAAAAACACTATTTCCTAAAACTCGTTTCAACTTTGACCCCCGCCCAGTGTTGCCAGGTCCGCGGGTTTCCCGCAAAATTAGGCTACTTTAGCACTTTAGCCGCGGGTTGAAATGACCCCAATAACGTGATATTTATCCCCTCGAATGTGAATTTTACCAGGGGAAGGAAAACGTGTATTTTACCCCCCGAAACGCGATTGGGATAGTTTTGAGTAGCAATTGTGAGAGTTTTGTAGAGAAAACCTGGCAACCCTGCCCCCGCCAAGCCTCGCGAGATTTGAGCAAGCTCTCGTTTGTCCAGCAGTGCTCAAGAATCACAAACACAGAGAAAGAAACAGATCACTTCAGATGTAAGTATGCGGCTTCACATCTCATCTCTGACCGGCCTGAGTGCTTCCTCCGTCGCTGCAGCAGCTCACACAGAGCGGTTCTGTGTGTTTTACTCTAAACTAGAGTCTAGATCACATCTCTGCAGGTCTTAGATGTCCTTTCCACAAATTAAAGCCTTAAATCAGTTCAGAAAGTCTTCATTCATTAAGTCATGGCATTAAATGTTGCATGCGCTACAGAAATGAATATATGTGTCTGCATGTTTGTCTTGTTTTCTAATATAAATATCTACACATCCTTAACTCAAGATGCAAAATAAAGATTGGTCAGTAGGGAGATATATTTGTAAATGCTGAAGTGGTTACGATGTGTTCTCCTTAGACAAAGAGAACTTATAGATGTATTGTGTTCCCTTCAGTTTATTCCTTACACGTCTCTCTCTCTGTGTGTGTGTGTGTGTGTGTGTGTGTGTGTGTGCGCGCTTTGCACGTGTGCGGCAGAACTGAAGATACGCTGTGCGAGATGCGCCTTGTGCGCGCGCTTCAGGTGTGAGTCAGACAGCAAGACGAGATGGCAAAGAGTTGTTTTCTGCAACTTATTGCACAGGTGCAGGAGGTGTCTCTGGACGGTCTGGAGACGTATGTCCCGCTGCTCTCCATGTCTCAGAACCTGGCCAAGCTGGCGCAGCGGATCGACTTCAACCAGAGCTCGGACTCAGACGAGGACGGGCCGGAGCGGGAGAGCCGGGAGCCGTGGGGCAAACCTGAGCCGGAGGAGGACGAGGGTAAGCTCGGAGATGTTTTCCTCTGTCACTGCGGCTCATTGATGATCGTGACTCAAGCACAGCTCTCTGCTGACAGGGACGGTGAAGTTCCAGCCCTCGCTGTGGCCGTGGGACTCGGTGAGGAACAACCTGCGCAGCGCTCTCACCGAGATGTGTGTGCTGCACGACGTGCTCAGCGTGCTCAAGGACAAGAAGTACATGGCACTCGACCCCGTGTCCCAGGACCCCGCTCTGACCAAGGTACACCTGTTGCGCTCCACCGGGCCGGGCTTAGTGCTCCTCGTGACGCGTCTGCTGTGTTCAGACCCCGCAGGTGTTCCAGCTCATCAGCAAGAAGAAGTCTCTGGCCACGGCGGCGCAGCTGCTGCTGAAAGGAGCCGAGAAACTCACCAAGTCTCTGGCGGAGAACCAGGAGCAGCGCAGACAGCGGGACTTCAACTCGGAGCTGCTGCGTCTGCGCTCTCAGTGGAAGCTGCGCAAGGTCGGGCACAAGATCCTGGGCGATCTGAGCTACCGCAGCGCCGGTAATGCAGCGCTCTCATCAGTGTGCTGACCTCTCTGATGTCTATGAAGTGTCTATGTTAACATGCGCTGTTGCTCTGCAGGGTCTCTGTTCCCCCATCACGGCACGTTTGAGGTCATCAAGAACACAGACATCGACCTGGATAAGAAAGTCCCTGACGATTACTGTCCGCTCAACGTGCAGATCCCCAGCGACCTGGAGGGGTCGGCGTATATTAAGGTAACATTCAGTTATCTATAACTCGCCTGTGAGCGCAGGCATCACGTGTTGTTTTCACCAGATGAACTGTGTGTGTGTGTGTTTCTCCAGGTGTCCATTCAGAAGCAGTCTGCTGATATCGGAGACCTCGGCACAGTCAGTCTCTTCAGAAGACAGCCCAAAGCCAAACCTGGTAAAGCCAGCTCGAGGCGCTGCTCTCAGACCATACTTACCTTTCTAGATAGAAGACTGATGGCTGAGAATACAGGCTTATTACGCATGGAATCGGTGTGGCCCATATAGAACATTTATGATTGTGAATATCAGAAGCATTTTCATTATTGCGATCAGTCACACAAGAATGATCATTCTGTCATCATTTACTCATCCTCATATTGTTCATATCTGTTTGTGGAACAGAAAAAGAGATGTTTTAGATAATAGACGTTACCAAGCAGTTTTAGTGACTGTTGACTTCCATTGTATGGACTTTTTTTTTCAGCTTTTCAGAATATCATCTTTTAGTCAGAGAGGTTTAGAGTGATATGATGGAGAGTAAATGATGACAAACTCTTCATTTCGTCATGCCAGTCGGACACTCCTCTGATTTAAAGCTCACTAGTATAATCAGTTTCATTCATTTCTGCAGTTCAGCCTGTTTTAGTAAATGGGGTTCAAAGTTCTGCTTCCTTCACCTTGTTTTGGGTTCATCTGAAGTGGGTTCATCTCAAATGCATGTTTTCTGCTCTGTTCGTCCAGCAGCAGCTCTGGTTTTCTGTCTCATCATGTGTTCCTCTCTCAGGCTCTCAGATGTGGCATTTGAAGCTGGAAGCGGCTCAGAATGTGCTGCTGTGTAAGGAGATCTTTGCTCAGCTCTCACGTGAAGCTGTTCAGATCAAATCACAGATTCCTCACATCGTCGTCAAGAACCAGATCATCTCTCAACCCTTTCCTGGTATTTACACTCATTCATTCTGCAGATGCTTTTATCCAAAGCCACTTATAAATGAGCAACATCACAAGCAATACTCACTCACACACAGACAGACACACACACACACACACACACACGCTCACAAA